CACCGCCCTTCTCATGGCCGCGGAGCTGGAGAAGTTGATGGCTTCGCCGTACACCATCAACGTGGTGGAGGAGATTGCCCGAAACAAGATGATCGCCATGGTCCACCACAAGAGAGAGGAGGAGCGCAAGAGGCTCTTCGAGGAGACCGTACAGGTCAGCATCTCACTCGCTTCCCATCTCTTTCTTTTGTGTTGTTTTTGTCTACCGCTTACACGGTGATGGGTGGTTAATCGTCTGTGACGGACCTGTTGTAGTTCCCTTCCGTAGACGGACTTCTTGCATGGTCCTGCTTTGGTTTTCCCATGTATTGTAGCACAGCTTCTTACGTTTTAGTCCCGACGCACTTCGCAGGTGGTGTTTTGAGTATCCAGGTCGGGATACGAACGTTGATGCTATGTACGCCAATCACGACGATGCAAACCCCACCCAACCACGTTTGTCGCGCTGATGATCATGATGATGATCATGGTGATGAAGGTGATCACGGCGGTGCCGCAGTTCTGCCCGGCAAACCGATAACGGTGTTCTTCATCTGACCCCCCATCCATCCCCCTCCGCCTTCCCCCCCCCGGACAGAAAAACCGCATCGTGCATCAGCAGGCGGAGCTCCAGCGTGTGGAGGAAGAGGAGGCGGAGGAGGACAGAGACCCGGTGGAGCGTGAAGAGACGCTAAGGCGGGAAAGCAAGCAGCGCAAGGCCGAGGACGACGAGCAGCTCCGCCTCAAGAAGCAGGCCGAGCAGGAGAGGGACGACATGATCGAGGCCATGTGGACCATGAACTACACCCACCGGAAGAGCATCAAGGCCGCCATGGAGCGCACCCACAAGCGCTACATCCGTAAGGAGGCGTGGCTGAAGGAGAGGCAGCGGCGGGATGCGACCCGGCTCGCGCCCGCGGCCCCGTCCAATGGATCCAGCGGCGGCGGCCGTGGCGGCGACGGCAGCGACGGCGGGAGGGTCGGCAGGCACTGGGGGGAGCCCAGAAGGAAGTCTGCGGAGCAGCAGGGTGACAAGTCTCCCCAAGCGGTCGCCATCGTGGCCCACACGCCGGACCCCTCTTGCGCAGAGCCCGTGTTGAAGAAGCCGCGAGGCCAGTGGGCTGCGGTGGCGGCGAAGGATGGCGGCGGTCGCAGCCACGACGGTGGAGGCGGCGGAGGTTCCGCGGCATCGTCGGTGAGGCGAGGCAAGCCGGCGGTCGGAGATGGGGGGCTCAAGTTCCATCTCAAGCGGAAGACGGCGGGAAAGCAGCGCGCCCCGCCCCCGCTCCCGCCGGCTCTGGCGGAAGCTGCGGCGGTCGCAGACTCGAAGGAGGAGAAGCTGGTGGCGGCAGCGGCAGCGAAGGTCTCCGAGGCCCAGCCCATGGACGTCGACGGCGAGACCGAGCGTTCTTCTGGTCGCGGGGAGGGCTCGATTGTCGGCGGCGGGACGAAGCGGAAGGCTTCTTCTCCTTCTTCCACGCCGGAGCCCCCCGCGGCGGGCGGCGGCGGCGGCGGCGGCGGCGGCGGCGGCGACCCCGTCAAGCCCGCCGTGTCCAACCGGGTGCGGCGCGTGAAGCTGTCCTGCTCCAAGCCTCTCCTGGCGAACGACGGCAAGACGTCCGGGGCGAAGCTGGAGCGAGCCGTCTGCAGCGACCCGCGCCTGGTGAAGATGCGGTGGGACGGTGGTCTGGTGATGGTGACGGCCGTCATCAAGGATGCGGTGGGAGGGAAGGCGATCCCACACATCGACCTCACGCAGAGCCCCTCGGGCATGACCATAGAGGCCCTGGGAGTGAAGGTCAGGATAGCTGCTCCCCCGGAGGCAAAAAACATGGACGGATTCTCCGCCGCCTGCGGGGGGGCCGTCGGCGTGAACTCCATGAGGCGGCTCAGGGGGCACGTGCAGAACCTGGACGGACACATCGATGAGCACGCGAGGGGCGGCGACGAGGGGCTCCGCTGGGTGGACAACCTCAAGCAGAAGAGGACGGTCCTGCGCCAGGTGGGCGCCATCCTCGAGGACGAGTTCCGGTACTTGCCGGCCTTGGGGGGCCTCTGGATGAGAGTCCGACACCTCCCGTCCGCGAAGACGGCGTCCGACGTGTGGAACACCGGGTCTGCCACGCCGACCATCGAGTACCGGGTTCTGATGCGTCGCGCGCGGCTGGCCGATGAGGGCGGGCTGACGGTGGAAGAGGACGCCGGGTACGCTGAAGCGGCTGCTGCTGCCGCTGCGGCTGCTGCGGCGGCGGAGGCCGAGGCTGCAGAAGATAGCGAGGAGGAGGAGGAGGAGGAGGAGGAGGAGGAAGACGCGGGCCGCTTCAAGATTCCGAGCACGCCGCAGGAGTACATGCACGCCCTCGAGGAACGGATCTACAACGGTTACATGGTGCACGAGGTGGTGTCGAGGGTGGTCGACCGGGCGGTCCACGTTGCTGTCGACGGGATCGAAATGGTGGACGCACAGGGCGGCCTTGTTTGGCCTCCGTGGTCTACGGAGGAGTGCAGGCGCCGGTTCCTCGAGAAAGGGGCTGCAGAAGACTTGGCCAGGCGCAGGGACGTGTTGTAGTTGGTGGGAGGCGGGAGGGAGCGCGCTTTTGGGCAGGTTGCGTGTTGAATGCGTGCGGGAGCGGTGGTGCGGTACGCAAGACTGACTGTAGATAGATTGGGAGGAAAGGGAAGGGGGCCTCTCCTCTCGGTCTCTTGGGTGTTAAATTAATTCAAAGATGGTACAGGGAATTTAACAAGTTGTTTCAGTTACAAACAAAAGAGGGGAAATCGCAAACATGCATCTATCCATCTCTCTGTGTTTGTCCTGTCTTGTCGTGTCTTGTCCTGTCTATGCTATGTGCGTGGCGTCATGTGACTGACTCTTGTCTTACACCAGGCGGCGGCGTCACTAGGCACACTGCATCGCACGCACGCAGTACGATATACGGCTTATTTTCTCATCTCATGAAGGATGTCGTTTGACCCAGTAAGTGGTCGTTTCGTGTCTGTTTCTCTTTGGTCCTTGTCTCAAGTACAGTATGCATTCATGCGTGCTTGCCATACAGTAAACAATGATCTGATGTTATATATCTAGAGGAGTTATGATGTTCCCGAAGGCTCGGGGCGGGGAGGGAAGGGAAACAAGATGGGCGTGAGTAAATGTACGCATTTTCATGCTACGCAAGCAAAATTTTTGGGGAAGTGTACGTGTAGAATACGTGTAGTGTATGTTCATGCGTGTCCTGATATGGTGCGCGCGTGTTTCTGACTGTAACCGCGCAAGCCCTCGTGTTCATCGCCGCTCCTCCTGTATTTCATTTTTCGGGGTCTTGGGTGCCTTTTCTTATTTCCTCAATTTCAATTTCTGCTCAAGGGGCGGGGGTGGTGGAGTCCATGCGAACACTCCCTCTTTTTTTCGAGTATCTTGTTCTCCACCGCTAGATAGCTGTCTTCTAAAATCGTTTTGGATTATAATATGCACAGGAGGCCGGGTTTGTGCGGTTGTTCTTGTTTTTTTTGGCAGGGTTCGATGGCGTGCATGCATAGTATGTGGACTGCTGTCAAAGCATCGAATTCTACAAGAAATCACCAGTCAGTCACGAAAAGAAAAGAAAAGAAAAGGAGGGGCTCAAGGGATGACAGGAGGAAGAGGGAATGACAGGAGGGAGAGGGGATGGCAGGAGGGAGAAAGTGCAGGAAAATGAGTTGCTTCAAGAAGAAACATGTGGTTGCATGCGGGTGTGTTTGTGAGGGGGGTGGATGGGAAACAAAAGAGGCAAGGAAGAGGGTGTTTATGGTGATTTTATGTACCATACGGCACGGTACGGTCCGACGGAAGGAGGGGGGAAGGGTGGGAGCGAGTGGCAAGAGAGAAAATGAGAAGTTGAAAACCGGCGTGTGTCTTTTGATGAAGCGGCTAGTTGACCTAGTCTACGCACGAGAATCGGTGAAACTTTTGGACAGAGAGGGAGGCCCTTGTTTCTTTCCGTGCTTCTCTTGGAAATGAAACAGAGAGTACCGCATGAGACTACGGGGATGTTTAAACCAGCCGGAGATGAGATGAGATGACGAAGGGAGGGTTCTCGTGTGGGTGCAGCTTGGCTGCGCGCGTGGGACGGGAGAGAGTACCAAGCATGGGGGAGTGACTTTATGTGGAACGTGTTTCTCGACATGTTTCAAGGCCGGGCTTCTTTGGCGAAAAGAGCGGTTGACCTGCATGGTCAGTGGAAATGAAGTGAAAGCTTGTCTCTTCCCCTGCTCACCTGTCTTGTCTGTTCTTTGTACCGACAGATCTGACATTGTTGATTGATTGTTGGCTGACTGCCCCGGTATCGTCTCGATGGGAAGATGTGTGCATACAAGACATCGAGCATCAAACCGCGTGCGTGCGTGCAGACGAGTTTGAACAAAGATCTGGTGTCGTTTAACACTCAGCCATCATTATTCGTTTGTGGATCTTGCGCGGTCGCAACACTGCTTGTTTGTGGCAAATTCCAGCGACTGAGGTCTACGAGAAGAAAGCGAGAGGGGGGTCAATCATGATACGTATTATTATGTGTCTTGTGCTGTGCAAGGCACGGCCTTCGCACAAAAACGCGCGGCGCGTGCTGGGGACGTCGTTCACAAATCCCATCACTTGCATACAACATTGGCTCAAACGGCCTCCCCCTTGACGGGAATGATTCGATGCCTCGGGCTCATCATGCGAAACGTACGAAATGATGCACCATTTTCAGAGGTGGAATGAGATTTAATGGGTATCAGCCGATGCGCTTCAAAAATAGCGCATCGAGTCCGCCGCGTCGACGAAAAGGCGACTGCGCTCTGGTTCATGATGCCCGTTTGTGATGCATATTGTACAACTCGATTGAGCCGTTTGCATGCCCATGCATGCCTAAAAAGAAAACGGCAAAAAACGTTGCGGGGCTCTGCATATCGGCGCCGTGAGGCTTACCCGCGGTCGCGAGCTCCCTGGAGGGACTCATCGTCCAGCTTGGAAAACCGAACCAGTGGTCATCGGCAAAGAAATCAATGGTGTTGTTCATTCTTTAATTCTTTTTGAATTTATCGTTTATTATGTGACAAGTGTTCTTCGTTCTTTCTCCACCTACAGGGCTAAATAAAAAAAAGAGCGGTGATGGTTCGCCCTCCCGTCTATTATCTGCCCGCCTCCGGTCCTTGCTACGCGTACAGAGTACATGAACGATACAAAACAAACGCGGTTATCGTGTCATCATATCATCTCCATATCTTCAGTCTACGCACAAAGTAGCGAGCAGCATAGTGCCCATTCTAACCAAACCCTCGCGCACTCTCCCTACATGGCCAAACGCCGACAAAAGGTCGGGGCTTTTATTTTGTAACGTCAGAACCTTTTCTGAAACAAAAAAAAGAAAAAGAAAGAGAGAGAGCAGTAAGCGGGGCACAGAAAGCACCCAGCCGTTGCCAGTTGTTTCAAAAAAAGAAAACACTCGCTACTTTTCAACGACTGCAATTTCCCGACGAGAGGAAAAAGCAGCAGAGGGTCGTCTGTTGTCTTGTCTACCTGTAGCGAGGAAAACACAACGAACGCCAAAAAAGCACGGTAAGACATAACGCGCGCAAGTCTGCCGCCAATAATACTTAACTCTTTCGCCCTCAAAACATGACGCGGGGGCCGAAAAATACGCCGCTCGGCAGCCGGTTACCTAAACACAACCTAGAGAGAACTGTACACACCAAGGAGGGCCCCAATCCCGATCCCACGACACGGCATAAATGTAAGAAATAGGAGAGAAAGCGGCCGTACATACATGCAAAGCGCGTCGTAGCGTAGCCTCTTTTGATCTAAATCCATCCATTCCGCAGGAGCGCGCCGCAAACGAGGGGCCAAGCTCCGCTCTCTGCCCGCCCTACTACGTGCCGCGCGGCTCGGCAAAACAAGACAAGAAAAAGCAAACAGAAAAAAGGGAGCGAATTGAGCCAACAAAACGAGCGAAAACTCTACTGTACAGCGAGAGAGACAGCCGCGACGACGACGACGAGAAACACACACACACACACACACACTGCACTGCTGCGATGTTCAAACGTGCCACATGCTGATGCCTCCGGCGAAGGCGGCAGACAGAAGAAGCTGCTGCTGCTGCTGCCGTTCCTCTCCCGTGTAGTTTGGCTCCTCCTCTTGTCTAGATCCTCTTCTTGGTGGTCTTGTTGACCAGCGACTTGTGGATGTGCGGGATGACACCGCCGCCCGCGATGGTGGCCTTGATGAGAGTGTCCAGCTCCTCGTCACCGCGGATCGCGAGCTGCAAGTGGCGCGGCGTAATACGCTTCACCTTGAGGTCCTTGCACGCGTTACCGGCCAACTCCAGCACCTCCGCCGTCAAGTACTCGAGGATCGCCGCCGTGTAGACTGCCGACGTAGCTCCCACGCGCTGGTGGGAGTGCACCCGCGACTTGAGGAATCTGTGGATACGCCCCACAGGGAACTGGAGGCCGGCCTTCGAAGACCGCGACTGGGGTGCCTTCTTTGACGTTGGCGCCTTGCCTCCCTTTCCACCCTTGCCTCCCTTGCCGCCTTTTCCTGACTGCCAGCCGCGGGACCATGGATGCACGTACGGGGTAGAAGAGGAGGTCAGACTGGTGTCATGCATTATGCTAGGAAGAGCAATGATGACTGCAGCAAGAGTATAGGTGGCTATTTTGACCTGCGTGCTCTGCTGTTGCTCACGGCGAATCGGAACAGATCGCGATCAGGTCTCGAGAGCGCTACATGTATCGAGAGAAGATAAATTCATTCACACTTGTCTGTTGGTGGTAGCAAGCGAGAGAGGGAGCAAGATCAGCAAGAGTCGTGTACACTCCGCTGTAGAACGAACACAACGTCTGGCACTTGATCAGCGATCAGAAGTATGCTCGACAGTATTTAGTCGGCAGTTGGGCAGGCAATCCAGACCGTGCGATGGCAAACCACGGGGAATCTAGGCACGAAAGAAAACATCGTTAGCGGCCTTTGAGTCTCTGTTGATGACATTTTTTGAAATGTCCAAATGGAGGCAAGGTGAGATAACGGCTGCGTTTTCCGCATCAGGCGCCGCCGCCGCAACTCGAGGACGCCACCAGCACAACAGGCACAACATGATTGCACAGGATCAATAAAGCTTCCGGTGAAGTTGTAGCGGCATCCGCGACACAGCGGCTTCAAAATCAACAAGTGACTAAACCGCCCGCGCCCGGACGCACATCTATCGAGAGGGGAGAGAGACAGCAGCAGGCCAAAAAAACGAGAGAGGTGCTCCCTCTTCCATCTGAAAAAAATGGCGGCCAACCGAACACGAAAGAAGTCGGAACAGCAGCGCAACGAGCCATTCGAAACAAACTGTCAGCGGGAGAGCTCACCATGGTGTCCCTGTAGAAGAATAGGAGAGCAGAACAAGGGATAGGAGACCAGTCAGGGCAATAACTCGTGGCGTCGGTACGACCCCGTATTCGCCTCAAATATGATATCTGCCGACAGCGACCGACGGAAGCACCACCGACCGCGGGCAATAGAAACGCCGTTTGCAATAAGTAGAAACCCTCCGCCAATCAGTGTGTGGCAATTAGTTTCTGTTCGCGCTATGAATTGCCCGGACGTCGCAGGACCATATTACGCTGTTCCTCCCACCCACACCACATCACAACATACAACCAACTCTCTCTCATCATTCTCATCAAGCAAACATGTCTGGACGCGGAAAGGGCGGTAAGGGTCTGGGCAAGGGCGGTGCCAAGCGCCACCGCAAGGTACTCCGCGACAACATCCAGGGTATCACCAAGCCCGCCATCCGCCGCCTGGCACGCCGTGGCGGTGTGAAGCGTATCTCGGGACTCATCTACGAGGAGACCCGCGGCGTGCTCAAGGTGTTCCTCGAGAACGTCATCCGTGACTCGGTCACCTACACCGAGCACGCCCGCCGGAAGACGGTTACGGCCATGGACGTGGTGTACGCCCTCAAGCGCCAGGGCCGCACCCTCTACGGTTTCGGCGGCTAAAGCTAATCCATCATCCTGCCCTGCTTCAACAAGTCAAGAGGCGCATCGCTCACACGCACCCGCGAGCGAGACGCCCCCTGATAAACCAACCTGGTGTTTACTCAACACCACCCAGCCCACCAAAGAAAACNCAACATCCAGGGTATCACCAAGCCCGCCATCCGCCGCCTGGCACGCCGTGGCGGTGTGAAGCGTATCTCGGGACTCATCTACGAGGAGACCCGCGGCGTGCTCAAGGTGTTCCTCGAGAACGTCATCCGTGACTCGGTCACCTACACCGAGCACGCCCGCCGGAAGACGGTTACGGCCATGGACGTGGTGTACGCCCTCAAGCGCCAGGGCCGCACCCTCTACGGTTTCGGCGGCTAAAGCTAATCCATCATCCTGCCCTGCTTCAACAAGTCAAGAGGCGCATCGCTCACACGCACCCGCGAGCGAGACGCCCCCTGATAAACCAACCTGGTGTTTACTCAACACCACCCAGCCCACCAAAGAAAACCTGCCGCACGATCGTTTTTTGGCGTTCCTCCTTCCGAGGTTCCAAGCCCGAAACATCCCGGAAGAAATTTGAATTTGTCGGGAAAAAAGGCAACGGCCGAAAGAGGTGAGACAGCAGCAGCATCCCTTTCTTTCGTGTTCGTATCATAGTGTACGTATGCGTACGTGTTGCCGTCTTCTTTTGCTGTGGCCGATTTGCCTGCATCGTCGAATGACACATGCGCTCAGGTGCGTCGAAACAGCTTAGGCGTGCTCCAAGATAAGTCTACTGGTTATCTGGTTCTCGAGTTGCTGTTTGTCGGTGTGCTGGGATCAGGTATCAAGCGCAGGGCTTCTATTGGAAGCCAAACATTATATCTCTTGAGGTGCTCAACACTCTGCCGGGCTTTCGCAAGACTCAGCATATTATGCTTTGGACAAAAAAAAAGTATATAATTGTGGTAACTGCAAGGAGTCAAGAATGAAGAAACATTTGAACCTTGACCTACGTGTGCATACGACAACGCAAGCGTGTGCACGCGTCTGAAGGAAGCTACAGCAGTCTTCAGGGTGTTGGGAGGGGTGTTCTTTTGTGGAGCATTAGCAACTCACTTTATGTGACGCGTACACTCGCTTCAGCAAGTGTTTTACTTGATTTGAACGGGGGGGAGAAAAGAAAAACGTGATTGTTAAGCCAGTTCCAGCAAGGGACATGTTGCTGTGTGCTGCTCGGGAGACTGTGTCAGCAAAACACAGCAGTGCTTGCCAAGGCAACACGACAGCAGTACAAGGAGCATACGATTCATTGTTATACTGGCCTAGACTCTTTTTTTTTTTTTGAAAAATGATCCAGGGTATCAATCTCCAAGGGTCTTGAGATAGACGTAGATTAGCAATGAATTCAGCATCAGAGAAAGCTAGTCTACCTGGAAAGGAGATGAAATGCTGCGTTTTTTTTTCTTAATATCACACAACAAATCCATCTCTTCCTATAGAAACAAGTCTAAGATAGATTAGCAATGAATCCATAGCGTGAGCGAAAGGCTACCTGCATGTCTACGGTTTCCCAGACAGCATACAACATAACTCCCCTGTGGGTAACAGGCTCAACAAGGCAGTTTGGTAGCCATCTTGTGTATCTATCTGTATGCTATGTTGGGAAGTTGTAGACGGAAGATTTAGGGGAACTCGGTTTGTAGCGTGTTGTATTCTAGCACCCTCACGTGGTTGCGGAGCAAGCGCGTCTCGGGGTGTGCATATTTTCGTCAACATATTTTTTGTGTGTGGTGCGTGGGGGCATGTGCGGCGCGGGAGAACATATTTACCTTGTTGTGTAGACTGATGGCATGTCTTTCAATGTGAGAAGGGCACGGGAGAACATTATCTCATCATTGCCTCCTGACGTGGCCGCCGGTAGAGGCGTGTGGTTGGGGTTTCATCACTGACATATGGGTATGTGTTAAATGCAGTGGGTATGGTCGCCTCTCTCACAGACTACAAATACGTGGACTACCGCACCGAAATCAAATATTCCTCATGCTAATCCTAATACCACCCGGGGAGTGATGCATATGTCCGATGTGTTGGCGGCTTTCGCCGCCACGCTGAGTGAAGCGAGTTACAAGATGATGACATTTGTCATTGGGATTGTTGACTGTAAGCGTTTACTGGTGGTAAATCACCCGCCCTTGCTATGTGCAAGCTTGCCCTCTCTTTCCCTGCCCTCCCTCCGCCGTTGCTCGCTTCACGTTCGCCAGCAGCTCTTGGCCGCTTAGTTTACAACCCGCAGTCCGCTACACAGCCTCATCTTGGTCCCGGTGCTGCGCACCGTGAAACGCTTCTTTTAGACAACGATAATCCGTTCTCGCTGGGCGGCGAAATGATCCTGGGGCGCTGTTGGCGGGTGCAGACCCGTTGCAAGACGTCCGATACGCTTGGGGTCGGCCTGTGTAGCCGGTGCTATTCCGAATGGCCGGGGTCGGGTCCTCCCCCCGTTCTACAATAGTTTTCCCGAACAACAGCCAGCCCTTACCGTCGCCGGTCGTCCCACTTTTTCTCGCACAATTTGGCTGGTCGTTGTTTCCGTGAGGGGTTTGGCGTACGGCACTTGTCGAAAAGGGGGGAGAACTTGGCGGCGCGAAAGGAGCGCCGTGTGATTGGCGGTAGGTAGTGATTGTTGCTCAGAGCCCTGTCGTGCGTATGTGCAAGCAGAACGTCCATGACATGTGCGTTCAACAACCGAGCCTCGAGCCTCGATGGCGGCCTTTGGCCTTCCGAACGGTGCATTTCAAACAGGAAAATATGAAAATCTGACTGCATTGACATACGGTAGGCTTGACACGGGCTGCTTCGTGTGGCTACAATCAACCAGTTGTTTACTCGGTAACGGTTGTTCAGGCGGACAGGTTTCGGCGGTGATGCCATTTGGCGGTACTTGTTTTGGCGATGGGCGGAAATATTGCGTTTGTCGGCGGTAACGACTTTGCCGGAGGCGATAAAACAAAATTTTGGGGGTAATTTTCGGCGGTATTGCCATACGGCGGTAACTGTTTTCGCGGTAGGTGGTAATACGATTTTCGGCGATAACGCAATAAGGCGGTACTGATCTTAGTGGTAGGCAGTAACGCTTTTTTCGGCGGTAATGAGTTTGGCCGAGGCGGTAAAACGAAAAAATGGCGGTAAAACGGCGGATTCCCGGGACCGCCCACCACGGCGGTGATTTCACGGCGGTAATGATTGTCATTGCCTACGGCCACAACTTCAAACGACACCAAACAAGGCGGCAATCGCGGTGGTAAGTTACCGCGCCGGAACAGACGGCAAACCACTTTGCCAAAGATTGATCATGTACTTCCATGGTTTGTTTTGTCGTTTTCACCACTTTTAGAGTCAATTCGACGGAAGAACATGTGCGCGCCTCCTCGTCTCCCTGTCCACTCAACATGTCCAATGGTTCTCCCGAAAACGAACTCGAACGACAGAACAGATACTTCCATGAAAAAGAAATGGCCGGAAAAAGTAGACTACGTCCACACGTGGACTCGAACTCCTGATTCACACTGGTTGTAAAGCAGTCGAGGCTAGTCTAGACCTCTACTCACTCGGCTAATCGCTCGGCGGTAACGTAATAGGGTGATTTTCGGCGGTATTGGGGTATGGGGGTATTTGTTTGGGCGGTAGGCGGAAACGCGTGTTTTGGCGGTAAGGACTTTGGCGGAGGCGGTAAAGCAGAATTTTGGCGGTAATTTTTCGGCGTTAACGCCATACGGCGGTAATTGTTTTGGCGGTAGGCGGTAACGCGTTTTCCGGCGGTAACGCTTTTGGCAGAGGCGGTAAAACAAAAAATGGGGGATTGCCGGGACCGCCCACCTTGGCGGTAACGTAGCGGCGGAAAAATTGCCGAGTAAACCCTTGCATTGAACGCCTTTTTCCCGATGATGGATAGTCTTATTTCTCTGATATTAAACTTATTGGCGTTAGCATCTTCTTACTCCACTCAGCTGAAAGAACACCCTCGACTGCATAACATATGTAGTAAGCCCGCCTCCCCGCTTGTGGCCGCAACGTACTGGGATGATCATTGATCGGCACGTATGCAACACGAGTATTAATTTGGGGCAATCCATGCTCATGATAGTCACAAACACGACAGACTTGACCCTTTTCCTTTCCGGACACAAAATGCGAACGGAACATACATACATGATATGCTGTCAGATGTCCGACCCCTACGGCCAAAAAGTTCGTGAACATTTTTTCGGCGTCGTAACGAAGCCCACCGTCCTCAATTCGAGTTTCCCCCGGAGTTGTTTTTGGATACGGTTTGCCAGGGCGTCAGTCACAGTGTAACCGGTCTATTGTCGTATTGCATACAGCTGGGAGGAAGGCCCGGCACAGCTGGCTCCAGTTCGAGAAGGTGTAATGTTGTACTACAAAAGGGGGTATCAAACGGTTCGTTCGAAGACAGCTCGCCTACTCCCGCACCGCCATTTCTCCGAAAGTCCAAAGGTTCCCTTCCCCCCCCTCCCCTCCCAGAGGTGAGTTGACACCGATCGTGAGTGTGAAAGTGTCCCTCGCTCAGGAGCAGTCAGAGGAAAACAGTGCTATCGTGGGCCTTATCAAAAGTGAATCTCCCGAGCCTCGCAAGGAGCGAGAGATTGACGGCTTCAGTAACCGTGTCCGCGGTGCGATCAGCACAGCAAGCGCACAAAGACACACCCTGTGTTTTTTCAATTGAAAAATAATAAGGTTTCAGGCTCGGCGAACCGTTTCAACTGAACACGTTACAGGCACACCTCGTTCCGTTCAGCCCCTCACTATTGTACACTAGTTCCGTTCAACCGCAACTAAAACATCCCTCAACAGCTATCGATGTGCCTGCCACGTCAACAACTGGTGATCTTGATGGCCGTATTTGGATGTTTACACTGATGTCTACACTGGTGCGCAAGCCCCAACAAACCCACCGCGAAAAAGGCTTTACTAGAAGTAGATACACTAGCCTTTCCTACAGCGGGTCTATCACTCGCTTCTTTTGGCTGCAAAACTCCGAGCCATTTTTGGACGGACACGTACTGTACTTTTACGACGCAACAAGCCAAAAGACTTCGCGCAGAGCATCAGTGCATGGCGCCGAGCACATCGTGGCACCGCAAGAACTACTTGCCAACCCGTGCCCCATGATTCAACAAAAGATGAATCACTCACGAACTAAATCTGACTTCATGGCGTACGCGTCACCCACTAACACAAAAAACACCAAGCAAACTTGCAGACAGCCACGGTACACCCCCTCCACCTCCCCTTCGAGATAGGCGGGGCTTCTTACATACAGGAGACAACATGCAACGAACTTTGGCAGGCGGGCGTTGATGTAGGTTGCACCCGCTCCTGATACCGATGACAAACACAAGCACGATACTGATGACTTAAGCCTCGTAAAGAACAACACATCCTACAATCGAAGGTTGTTTACATCATGAATGCCAACTACAGGAAGAACCCGTTGAGGAAACAGGCGGGATAAAACCCGTGGCACGCGTTCATTTCTCCCGTCTGGTGGGTGGTGTTAAGGAAACACCAGGTTGCCGGAATCGCGAACCTCGTGCGGCGGGGGGTTCGCGTTGGACGGGAAAACTCGAAACGACGATGAGCTCAGGTCTTCTTGGGAGCGGCAGCCTTCTTCTTGGGGGTGGAGGGCTTCTTCTTGGTGGCGGTCTTCTTAGCCGCGGGCTTCTTGGCCGTGGTGGTCTTCTTCTTGGTGACGGTCTTCTTGGTGGTGGTGGCCGTCTTGGCGGCGGGCTTCTTCGTCGTGGTCTTCTTCACAGCGGGCTTCTTGGCCACCTTCTTCTTCGGCACCTTCTTCTTGACGACCTTCTTGACGACCTTCTTCACCACCTTCTTCTTGGGGGCGGGCTTTTTCGCCTCGGGGCTCAGCTTGTAGGAGGCCTTCATCTGCTTGACGGTGAAAAGGGCAGTAAGTAGTAGGAAGGGAAGGGGGTCAGGTCACACTCGGCAGCAAACTTAACAAATGAAGCATACAAGAGCTCTCCGCACGCGCATCCGATACTGTGGATGTTGAGGAACGCGGATGGACTCGGGCGACATGCACGATAACGTAGCCTCAGGGCTAGCCTGGAGTGAATACGCGGATGGACTCGGGCGACATGCACGATAACGTAGCCTCAGGGCTAGCCTGGAGTGAATTTGGACATGCGTCTTGTTCATAGCGACTTTTTCTTCGCCATCAGTCTGTTTGGGATGTGATATTATGCACAGCGTCCATGAGCGGGGACGGCTTCATGTGGCAAGAACGTACCGCACCGGTGGAGGTACCAAAGCATATATATATATATTTTCTCCCATCATTGGATTCTGTCGTCTGCCCCTCTGGCCCCTATCCTCCACTTCTACCAGCTAGACGACCCAACCGGGGTCACACAGCAGGGGGAGGTTGGACCCCCTCCTGCGGTTCCTGTCTGAGATATTTTTATCGCGAGAAGGGTACAGCAATTCCTTCCCTCGCGACTTATGAAGTTGATCAAGTTTACTGACAACGCGCTTTGCAGCGCGTCGCTTCCAACGGAGACCAGGATTTAATTGGTGAGAAAAAACTCTTTTTTTTTTTGTTNCAGGGGGAGGTTGGACCCCCTCCTGCGGTTCCTGTCTGAGATATTTTTATCGCGAGAAGGGTACAGCAATTCCTTCCCTCGCGACTTATGAAGTTGATCAAGTTTACTGACAACGCGCTTTGCAGCGCGTCGCTTCCAACGGAGACCAGGATTTAATTGGTGAGAAAAAACTCTTTTTTTTTTTGTTTGTCTTCACTTCAAATCAGCGCTCACAGCACTGGTGCCGTTTACTCCAACCCGTGGACACACAGAAGAGCCCCTCTCTACCCTCCCCTCCTGCGGTACTTTGCCTTCGATTTTTAATGCGAGAAGAGTTCAGCACTCTCCTCCCTTTGTGTACACACGAACTAGCGCTATCCACTAAGCCAGGAGCGGAAGCGAGAGAAACACTCACTTTGCAAGAAAAGCTCGCTTACGCCGGGACTCGAACACCTAACCCGACCTCTAGAAGGTTTCGGGGATACCAACTAGACTACCGGGGCGACCGGTCTCTCTGTCGGGACTCGAACCCATGACCTGGCCCTTAGCAGGCTAAGAGGTCACCCACTAGACCACCGGGGCGACCGATATGTATATATGGTATATTTTTTTCTTCCGTCATTGGATTCTGTCGTGTGCCCCTCTGGCGCCTATCCTCCACTTCTACCAGCTAGACGACCCAACCGGGGTCACATAGGAGGGGGGAGTTGGACCCCCTCCTGCGGTTCCTGCCTGATATTTTTATCGCGACAAGGGTACAGCAATCCCTTCCCTCGCGACTTGTGAAGTCGATCACGTTTACTAACTACGAGCTTTGCAGCGCGTCGCTTCCAACGGAGACCAGGATTTAATTAGCTAGGCTACCCACTAGACCACCGGGGCGACCGTGCACGTGTTCGATTATTAAAGCTCCACTGCTCCACATTCACGACGATGCAATTGCCGACAAGATTGACTTATGCAGGAAGCATCTTGTCGAGAATGTCTCTTCTTTCCACGTCTCGGTCGGGTAGCACCTTCTTACCCTTTTGGTTATGCAGCACCATCTTCACAGAACCATCATTCGCTCACCTGTCGCGTCTTGGTTCTTCACGGTAACACAACACCAAAATAATACTTGCACGAATAACATCACTTCGTGCATAAATCTACTGGACAGCAGTTAACAAATTGTTCCATTCTTATCGCGGAAGAACAGGAAACAGGACGCGACCAGTAACTGAAGGCAGGCGTTGCTGTTGTGTGGACTTTATGTGGCGTGCACCATGGAGGTTAATTTCTCGACTCGCTCGTGAAACGACCCGGTCGCGCACTCTCCACTGCTGCTGTACACATGTAGCTTTCATAAAAGAATGCTGCGGCTGTAGTGTTGGTGTTGCTGTATCGCGAGCAGCTATTATACGTCCCGGTGAGGAAAAGAGAGACATGGAGAAAGGCCGGTCAAGCACTGGTGTTGGATACTTTTCCGAACTGTACGGTGCTACAAGTGCCGTTGAAGATCACGGGTAAAACCCCGTTCCAATAACCTTGGAAGTATTGTTACGATGGGGGGGAGGGATTCTTTGCCGGTAAAAATGTTTGAGATGGAATTCGAGGGCAGCCGTAACCAAAACATGCAACGCCCTCGTGACAAAAGGGATACCGAACATGGGTGCACATTAACATCCGCCAGGTTCCCCCGCAACGTACCTTGATGAACTTGCCAGACTCCACTCCCTTCTTGAGGGCGCCGCGCATCTGGTGCGGCGTGAAGTTGAGGGTAGGGTAGGTGGCGGTGATACTCTTTTTGATGGCCTGGATGGAGGATCCGTTCCGCTCCTTGAGGGTCTTGATGGCATCGAATACCATCTGTGGCGCAAGGATAGAAAGACACGAGGAGGAGAAACGACCGAGAGGGGGGAGGGAACACGGTCGACCAAGGTAATATAGTCCACACACGACACACGATACCCGGCTCCGAGGAGGCCAGAACAAACTTGCCGAATGAGCCGAAAATCTCAAAATCCCCGCCACACCAGCAGTCTAAACGGACAAAATCGTCACTCACCACGTTGTACGTGGGCTTAGCGGTCGACATGGTCGACATGGTTGATTGCTGGTGCTGTTGCTGGCGCTCGTAGGTGCTGGGGTCTGTTGGCTGGCAGCTGCATAATTTGTTTACCGGCTCTCGTTTGTCGCCATGTTTTTTTTGTCCTGCGAATTGGCAAACGGTTGAAGGGGAGTTCAACCACCAGCGGAAACGCGCAGGTTCCCATTCGAAAGTCATTTGAAATCTGGCGCGTTCCATTGGCCAGAAATTGACAAGGCTAACTCGCCGCATGTTCGATTCCTCCGCTGCTCCGATGTCCTCGTCCATACCCTCCCACCTCCCACTCTTCCCACTTCCCATCTTGTCCATTCACATAGCTTTTCCCCTCATCAGACACCATGGCCCGCACGAAGCAGACCGCCCGTAAGTCCACCGGAGGCAAGGCCCCCCGCAAGCAGCTGGCCACCAAGGCCGCCCGCAAGTCCGCACCGGCCACCGGCGGTGTCAAGAAGCCCCACCGCTACAGGCCCGGCACCGTGGCCCTGCGCGAGATCCGTCGCTACCAGAAGTCCACCGAGCTGCTCATCCGTAAGCTCCCCTTCCAGCGCCTTGTGCGCGAGATCGCCCAGGACTTTAAGAGCGACCTCCGCTTCCAAGGATCGGCCGTGCTCGCTCTGCAGGAGGCTGCCGAGGCCTACCTTGTAGGTCTGTTCGAAGACACTAACTTGTGCGCGATCCACGCCAAGCGCGTGACCATCATGCCCAAGGACATCCAGCTGGCCCGCCGCATCCGCGGCGAGCGCTCTTAGATCGTCACAGTCCAGACTGTTGTCAATGGGGGCCGCTCACTCTCTACCAAAATGAGTCAGTCCACCCCCAACAAACACCCTGGTGTTTACTCAACACCACCCTTGCACCAAGGAAAAATTGAAAAAAAAAAAGTTCAGCTGCGTCGCTGGCAAAATTCAAAATTCGAAAAAGGGCATGTTGTGTTGACCAGAGCAGTTTGCAGTGTCTTCCCTCAAATCCATCACTTACTCCGTAAGCAAGTGGGTTGATGCAACCATTGAAGACTGCAACAGGTTTGTTGGTTGTTTACCGCGCGTTAATTGTTACTGGTTGTGCGCGTCTGCGGCATAGGAATGCGCAGTACTGCTGTACGTACGGATACGTACGCAGGCACATACATACATCTATCTACTTTGTCGTAAACGCAAGAAAAAGGAGGGTGCCTAACTGCTGTGTCTTTCGAACAATATGATATACAGCATAAATTCCTTTGGCGTAGGTGAGGTGGATACAGCAGTCAGTCGCAGTCCAGTGTTGATCGTTACACGGAAGTGTCAATCGAGAATTTCTCGTCTCTGTTCCACGGCCTTCTGTGTTCCTCAAGGCCGCGGTGGACTAAAATGAAAACAAGGATCAACGCCACCTCATTCTTGAACCCCGTGGAATGTATCACTTGAAAACAACAGCAAGCAGTGTAGGGCATTTCGAACCGAACAAGCTTAATGCATAGCCTGCAATGTGATGGCCTTCATCTTCGCCACAGAGATTAGACACCGAGAACCGCAAAAGCAACGAGCGGTCTGGTTCCGCCATTTGCATGTTACACCTGGCACACACAGCGCGGCAGATCTCTCTTTCGCTCCCGTTTTTCTCCAGTGCTGTAGTCTACACTTTCGCACATCGTACTCGAGCATCTTCAGCGTCTTCCTGCATCAGCTGATTCCGGCGCCTTGTTTGACGTCCGACCCTCTACATTATTGGTATCGCAGCTTGCCTCGGGCAATCGTGCTGGTCCTCTAGGAGTTTTTTTTTTTAGGTGGTATGAGGTGCAGGTGCGAGAAGGAGGTGGATAATAATGTGGCAAATCCCAAGTTGAACGGGTGTCAAACATGGCACAACTTTATGGTCGAAGGAACGCGCGCGAATAATAAGATAAATCATAATGTGTCCGTCCAATCACGGCGGAATAATCTATCACGCATCACGTGGCAGAGGTGTGCCCCGAACCTCTTGTTGGCAGGCTTGTCCTGGCCTCGAGGCATGACATGATGTATATGTATGTCGGACAGCGGGGCTTCCATTTCATGGCAGGTACGCAACTATACGCGCAAACATGTCGAGATCGGAGGAAAACTGCTGTCTGTGCAATGGATGATGATGTGTTCCGCCGAGAAGCCAATAACAATTATTTTGCGCGCGCGTTCAAATAGTAGCTGTTGTCAAACACGTACAGCAGCAGTAGTAGTGGGGAGCATGGATAATTACCCATCATTCATATGTACTTGATGTTGTAGCTGGTGAAGATATTGTCAAAGGAGCCGGCAAAGAACATTATGCGTGAGCGAAAAAAAAACAGCACAATGTAACCGCCGACACGCGGCGGAATATGTAGCCTCCGCGGGGAAGGTACAGGTGGGTATGCCCCGACCCTGACATTGGCAAGCTACTCCCGGCCTCGAAATAGTGGGTGACAATCCCGTTGTAGACTGGAATTCGATGGCAGGTAGGCAACTATACATCTACGCACGCACGTGCAAGTTGGTCGAGATCGGATTTGTTATTTATTGTACAATGGATGGATGGATGGATGGATTGATGGATGATGATAAGGATGTGTTCCAACGAGGAGAGAAAGTGGTTCCCCACCGCTTATCATCCCAGTTCCATCCGAATGAGAAGGTATCCGCTCTATTTTCGTCAAATAAATGCGCGCGCCAACAAATACTGTCGAAATGCTGCGGAACATCCTCCGCGGTGCAGGTGACTGAGGTATGCCCCTAACCTCTCATTGGCAGGCTAATCCTATCGTCACATCTATTTCCGACGCGCAGAGCGACTATTACGAATCTATCTGTGGGAGTGCTTTGTATGCGTGAAACTTTGTGCACCCATCACCAGTCAATGCTGTGGAGTTGGTGGTGTATGCATCATCACCAATCAGTCACAATGAGTGCATGGATGTATTCCTACAACGAAAAAAGAGAGTCACCAGTCATCAAGTGTTTTCAGTTTGTTGATGTCTGATGTACCAAATTATACAAAATAACACAAAACCCCTGGGTGAGGCGAATGCAAGACCGAGTTTATGCTTTAATGCGAGGCAACCACCCAACCAACGGAACACAACTTATAACTTTTTTTGTCCCCCACCCCCGGTGTTTGCCATCGGGGTTGGGTTTTCGTCGCTTGGCAACGACGTTGTAAAACAAGCCAATTCACTTCGTGAACTCGGCAACCAGGTTACCGTTTTTCTTTTACCTCCGTTTTACTTTTTTGGCGGTAACCATAATGGTGGTCGAGTAGATCGTGTTGTGCGGGGTG